GCCCACCCCTCCAGGAAGTTCCAATCCCTTCTGTGGGGCTGGGGGTGGGGGAGTATGGATAATTTCTGGAACTGCACATTGTTAAAATAGCGATCACTTACTAATTATACTCCCAAGTACTTCCTATAATGTCATACAAATGGGAACATAATACATTGTCATGTTTCATGAGTCAGAGTGCTTTGGGTTAGTTAGGATGCAAAGAAAATATCTTATAATCAGGAAACAGGTTTTATAACTTACAATAAGGCAGATTCTTTATAACATGGTCTTGAGTAGTTGAACTCCACTACAATATTTCAAATTCTCAGGGGAAACAAAAAATAAGTTCAAAATAGTGGGAGTTCTGAAAAGCTGATAGCACGTGATTGAAGGACACATGCAAGGGAAATGATTTTGAGTTCAAAATAATGGGGAATTCAAAATAACCAAGTTCAAATTAGCAGAGTCCAATTGTAACATGTACCTGGTTAAATTCAACTTACCTGTCTGGCTTTGAAAAGCTTGCATTGAAGTGCACGATACTCATCATCTTCAACCAATGATCTTCTATCCACTGTGTACAAGTATTTAAATAGGGATTAATATGACAGGGCTCGACTTTCAGGAAAAAACCTTAGGGCCAGCTGGCCCCTACGTTTTCAGATTTCATCACCAGCAAAAATATTTCAATCAGTAAAAAGCATGGAAAGTTAGTCACCAGTGAAAAAAAATTGGTCCCATTGGTGACCCCAGGAATTGCAATGTTGAGCTCTGCAAGGAAGTGGATTAAAAGTGAAACAAACGTACCACTCACCTCAAGTAAATAATATTATTAATAGTATTTTTGCATGTAAATCCCTGAAGGATCAAAACCAATAATAAAGAAAGTTTTCTTTAAAAAATTGGTGAACATTCATGCTTTCCCAAATGATGAAAGCATTAAAGGTAGGGTTAGACGGTTTGTTGCATGTCTGTATTATTTATTTGCCTGTGCATGCTGTTTGGCACAGGCCCAGTTTTTCATTGTTTATGAACCAATCATAAGCAAGTTACCTAATTTCGCATGTAAATAGCTATAAATTATCAACCATAGAATATATTGTACGGGTCAACACTAAATTCAACAGTTGACAACTTCAGCAAAATCCACTGAAATCTTCTTAGAATTTTGGTCATTATCCGTCATTCTACCATGACTGACTATAACATGTGACTACTGAACTACATCTGGGTGGGGTTTCTAAAGTGATAACATTGATAAGAAGCGAACAGAAGTTTTTGAATACTTAGATACCCCATTAGTAGACAGGTTTTTTCTCCTAGATGTTAGATGTTAAGACACATTAATGAAGTTTATATAATTATGTATGTAACTAGGTAATACTATGTTTGATTTAGGGATATGCGCCGATATGTGAAACCCTCCCTTCAAGCAATAACAAAAAACCCAGCACCCGGCCAGTAAATCCTTCACGCCTCTTAATTCCACAATTCTAATTTTTGTTGAGAAGTTCACCAAGGACCAGTATCATTTGGGAATAAGTTATTTTAATAGCTTATTCCCAAGTTAAAACTTCCAAAACTTGATTAAAACACATTATTTTATATATCACCTCAAAAAATATTCAAGCAATTTGGTTGCAAAAGTGTGTGGAATTTAGCCCCACATTGATTCTTACATGTTCCTTTTTTCTTACTTTTATGGCTGAAATAACAGGTTCTGTTTCAAGAAGAGAGCCTGTTCTACTCCCCTGGCTTTTGATAGGGTGGATCAAAACATCACAGTAGCAGAAATTGAGTCTAGTTTCTCTTGGGTGGTCATTGCTGATCAATTAAGCTGGTGTCAGTTATAAAGCTGTAAGCTTCCAGCTATACATGTACACGTATACAAAAAAATTAGTTCGTATAGTGTGATCGTCTGGGTGAGGGTAGTTCTGAAAAGAACTGTTGATGGTGCCCTCACCCAGACAATCACACTATACGAACTACTGATACTCCTGGGTTCAAACCATTTACGATGTTACAAAAAAATTGTTCTGCTGTGTAAAAGAGAAGCTAATAACATACCTATATGGCTATCCTATCTATCTATCTATCTATCTTTTCCCCTCTTTTCTCTCTATCCTTGTGATAATTTAGTTCACATTCTCCTTCAGTAAGGGACTTCTCATGCACATTACATTATACAAATGACAAGAACTAAGAAGACTTTTTGTTGACACTATACAAAATACACAAGGAAACTGCTGTCTGTATCACTACAGGCCAGTATTAAACATAGGCATCGAACAAGCTTACTGAATGACCAATGTTTTAACTTCACAGATGGATTTAAACATTCTGAATTGAGCCATTTTGACTTGTAAACTTCAATACAACACAAGAAATCAAAAAGGGAAAGACAAATTATTTTGAGACTCTTCATCTCTAAGTTAAATCTCAAAAAGGAGGTTGCCTGACCGGGCAACTAGGTATGTTTTTCTTGTCGCACGAAGGTGGAAGCTGGGCGGCACTGCTAGAGCACAGCCTTGTCTTTAGTAGAATTCTACTAGTGCACTAATGCAAATGCTGCAATCTGATTGGCTGAGCCATTGCACACTATCTGTCTTTAGTGTGCAGTGGTTTGGTGTGGTTGACAAAATTGCAACGTTTCCTCGTTTCTCCTAAGTTTTGAAAGAACATTTAGAAACAAATGGATAACGGAATTCCTGAGAAGACTAAAAGGAGGGCATTTACAGTTTCTTGAAGTAAGAAACTGATAGGCACACGTACACATCTGCAAATGTCAAATTGCCAACTCAGTCCACGCAAATTCTCTGTGGCATGAAGTTTAATACTAAGACCAGAAATAATTGGAATCATTATTTGAAGGAAATGCTAGTTAGAATTCCACAAAAGCAATTTGATTATTTGCTCTCGATTTCTATGCGGCGATAGTTCATTTGGCCTTTGGCCTCAACAGCTATCACCTCATAGAAATCTTGAGCTCATAATCTAATTGTTAATTAGACTAAATTGCATAACTTTATGTAAGGGATCACAGCTCCTTATATAACAACAACAACAAAAAAAATGACATTACATAACACTGGAATTGTAGTTGAATAGGCCATAAAACTCTAGCCATATTATTTGGTGAGGTGGCTAAATAAACAGGTTCCTGTGGTTTTTACTATTTGAATGATATATAAAACAAGGTGGTCATTATAAGGTGGGGCCATTTCAATTTGTACCATACAAAAACAAATTAATTATAAAATACAACCACAGAAAAACATGATGCCATATGACATGGAGGATTCCTAATATAACACTAAGGCAAGTTCATCAAGTCTCATGCATGACAACTCTAAAGATCCCAACATAATTTTTACTTTGATAAAGTCTACCCTAACCAGCCAGCTGTAAAATCCACCTGTCTAATTCCATACCTTGGTAAAGTCTACCTGGCTACCTAATGACTTTCTATTTTCATTGAAGTTTTCGAGCATGGTAGATTTAACCCTAAGAAAATAATCATGTCAAACTGAACCTAATGTAACGAAACGTCGAATTGTTGTGCTACACGATTCTTTAATTAATTTGGAAACAGAAGCAGTCACACACCCACCATCATGGACCTTCGTGGAATTTATTAGAATTATTATTTCTATTTACCACTGTATTAACGCTTACCTCTGACAGAGTTTATCCTTCGCAATCCCCGTGCTTTTTCTTTAGTAACTTTAACATCGTCATTCTTTAACGTAATTTCACTGTTTGCCCTTTTCTTCAGCTTAAGCGAGAAACTCCTTTTGGGTAAACCCCACTTCGAGAATCTGGCTAGCCCACCCTTAATTTCTTTTAAATGTTCAACGCTCTCTTGTAAACTATTCTTCCACGTTAAAGGCTTGCATCGCTGTTCAACCTTTTCAAGGGTCTCTTCTGGCTCTGTCGGTGCTGTTGGATTCTGAAGTAAGCTAAATATCTCTAAGCCGGCGCTGATTGAATCGTCCTCTGACTTCGGAAGACCGCCTGGCTTTAACCCGAATCCTAAACCCAAATCAACAGATGAATCGTCGGACGAGAACGATCCGNTCTTTAACGTAATTTCACTGTTTGCCCTTTTCTTCAGCTGTAGTGAGAAACTCCTTTTGGGTAAACCCCAGTTCGAGAATCTCGCTAGCCCACCCTTAATTTCTTTTAAATGTTCAACGCTCTCTTGTAAACTATTCTTCCACGTCAAAGGCTTGCATCGCTGTTCAACCTTTTCAAGAGTCTCTTCTGGCTCTATCGGTGCTGTTGGATTCTGAAGAAAGCTAAATATCTCTAAGCCGGCGCTGATTGAATCGTCCTCTGACTTCGGAAGACCGCCTGGCTTTAACCCGAATCCTAAACCCAAATCAACAGATGAATCGTCGGACGAGAACGATCCGCGGCTGCCATGAAATTTCTTTCCATACTGAACCAACAAGGACATGAGCACCAACAGAAATCGAAAAACTTTTCGTCAAATATTCGCGAATTATGTATTCTGTGTTGTCACTTTATTCTCTAGTGTGTTTTCGTGCGGCTTTGTAACCAAACCTTTGGCTGAGCATCCAAAGAGAGAGGAGATTGCCAGAGAGGATTGGTGACTACAGCGGGTCGTGAGGTCAAGATGGCTGGATATTGGCCAAGTTCTTTTTTTGCGTGTTATGGACCGAGACGGAGTCGAGGTCCATAAACACGCAAAAATAGAACGAGGCCAATATCCAGTCATCTTGACCGAACAAGCTTGGTCAATAAAGGATTTATTATATGGCTTTCGGGGAAATTTTTTGCGGGACACGGCGGGTAGTCCCGAGCGGGCAAGATAGCTCGATCTTGCCCGCTCGGGTAGCCAATCACAGCGCAGCATTAGATTCATCTTGCCCGCTCACGGAGCTAACCGTATAATAAAGTGGCCTATTGTATATTCCAATGCCTCGTCCAGGTGTTTAGTTAGTTGGGGCGCAGCACGAAAAATGGTGGACGAAAAAAGTGGGAAAAAGCGCGGCGCGGGAAGGCGAGCGAACGCCCGTGGCGAGGACGCGAGAGACGGGTCGGCGAGCGATGCGAGTCGGTTAAGGGCCTCTATGAGAGTCTCAGGCTATCATGGAATGCATTGGCCATCTCACTGAGGGTTCTTCTATTGCCATTATTCCTATTGAGGTGGCCATCGACAATTTAATTCACGTACTTTGGGTACATTAGTGAAAACCGCAACGGTTATGGATTCGTGATTGTGACGGTCAAAATTTTTAAACGTGACGTTTGTGTCCAGATGGCTCCTTGACGGACCAGTGACTTTCATACGTAACACAGTTTGGGCTTGTTGTCAAAAAGATGATAAGAGCTAAATTGTCACGTTCTCTGTGTCCCAGCCTGACGTGATGTTGCGATCATCATGCATCACTAGTGAAACTTTTAGTTTGCGAATAAGAGGTTACATTAAGTGAAACCGTTGTCACAAGCCAACAACCACATTTGTATTCAAATAAATTGAGTCTTGTAAGCCTAATGTTAATTTCTACCCAACCTCTATTAAGCAGTTAGGCTGTGGTGTCCCCGACAGGGTAACTGACTATTGGTTGGACTATATTTAACCGGTTCCAGTTCATTTGCTGTCAATGTGCACGTACTGGTGATGGCAGAAGGAACTGGTGAAACATGTCTCAAACTCGCAGCAGTTGTGTTATTTCTTACAATAACTGTTAATCTACTGCTATCGGAACATTTTGACATTATTTTTTAAAAGTGAAGGTTTCTGATGACGCATGCATATAGTGTAATTGAACTGTCATGTGATCCCGTTCCACTGATTAAGAAGCGAGCACGTGTACGGAAACCAATCGGAAACGTTTACAGAAGGGAAGGTTGTACAAAAATACCAGGCGTTAGAACATCGTGACAGATCGGAACAGACAAAATTGTGAAGATGGATTTGTTTGAGAGGACCGCTGCACTTTTCGTTTTGATGGTCTGCAGCTTAGCAGGTTAGCGTCCAAATTAGCTTTCAAATCCAAATCGTTGTTGTCTGAATTTCTTCCTGCTTCAGGTTCTTATTTACAACACACTACACTCCTAAGGCGAACATTCTGGTCTTGCTTAGCCCGACTGAATTTCCCTTGAAGAGTCCAAAATTTTATTTCGTGAGAACTCTCTGAGCGGCTAAATCCGCCACCGAGAGTGTCCGTTTTAGACAGAGAGGTCACTTCTACACACGTTACAGTCGTTTCCATTTCTATTAATGATAACATGTACATACAATGTTTTATTATCTCCAAACAACTGTGTAAATGTGTACAACAAGATGTTTCTGGTTTGATCATAGTTAGTAGTATTACTCTAACTATGGTTTGATGGTGGGCAATTAAGAACACGAGAGAAATTTACTGAGCTGCTGCTATGGCCCAGTCTGGCCCAGTCTGAGATCCGAGAAATAGAAAGCTATTCGTACGTGATTTCATAAGACCCGAAAATGCAAATAATTTTGATGAAGTCTTTTTGCCCCGTGGAAAGCGGAAAATAGTTCGCACATTCAGCAGCTTGATCAAAGGCGTCTGGCTGTTTCAAAACCTGTTCAGCTCGGTGTATTAAACCATTTCAAAAGGATGAACGAATCAGTTCATACTCGTCGTCGCAATAATAAAACTTCTATAAATGATCCCTCTCTATGTAAAAATACAGTAAAAGTTTACAAATGAAGAAATATAATATTCTTGACCAACCAATTCTCAAAATATCCAACTCGAATCTTGAACTCATATCTCCTGCACCGTTGCAGAGACAGTCCTGGGTACGAACGCGCCTCTCGTTGATTGGCCAGCCCTCTAATCTTCCCTCTCCAACTCACGTTTTGTTTTTCATCATCATTACATTATGTCCTTTTCCCTACAAGGAAACGCTCAATGAACTGCTAAAAGCCCAGAACTGGGGTCTCGATAGAAACGAATTGAATTACCTCACAATTTTTAAAAACCCGCTATCCACTTCATTTCGTGAGGTTCAGTTATTAACTGACCGAGTTGCTGTTAAGGAAAAATCCCTTTTCACTAGTCGGTGTTATGAAAAAAGGCACAGAAAATAATGGACAGGTGCAAAAAAAGAAAACGGATGTGACGAAATTTTCATTAAGCTACTGACAAAATGTTTCGGCACAAAATGACATGCGGACAGAATTACACAGCCTTATTATTTGTGTACATTTGTAGAATTACTGGCCTGAAAAAAAATAATTGTTTTTCACAAACATTGTCAATGTGCTTTACTTATTAAAAAGTAAAAAAAAATTAGAATTGGTTCTCTTGGTTTATCTCCACGTGTTGACCTTGTCAGTGCAAATTAAGGTGTTTGCCCCGCAACGCATGAGAAATTATGTCGGATCTGAGAAAAGAAATCGGGTATATCCTGACAGCGGACAATGTGAATACGATGAAACTATCCTTTCATAGTCAAGTTCAGTCAATGTATGACTTAATGAAAGCATTCTCTCAGATACAGCTCAGGACAACAGCTGGTAGTGAGAGGGCAATAAATAAGTAACGAAGAAACAAAATACACTGAGCTGAAATTAAAATACACCTGCCAGATGCCTATAGTGTCATTTGCTTTTACAACAAAGGGCCGGGAAATTCCCTTCGTGTCACGTTACCGAATCGAAATTACTGTTGCATCATCTTTGGGGTTTTAAGAGTCTACCTACAGTCCAGAAGGCTAATTTCAGCGGTCGCCTTATGTTGTAAGGAGTAATTCAATGATGGATTCAATTCGTAAAGCATCTCAGAGGACGCTCACAGGTTACGCATTGTTCTTCTCATTATGTATCACGGGTAGGTATTTCCAAGTTTTTGTTCTTTCATTTTCACGCAGCATATTTTTCAGTAGTCAATTTGCGTTTTGCTGCTCGTGTTGAAAACCAAGTGAACGCTTTATCTCGAGCCAGAAAATTTGACTCGGAAAATTGCCTCGAAAATATAGATAGACAAAAATCTTGAGAGGGAAATCGATTTTATCAGTGTTCAAGGAGACCATCCACGATATAATTTACAGTACGCAATAGTATCTAATCATTGTTTTTTCGGCCTGGGGGGCTACACGAAGTTTGTGTACGCAACGGTAATGAACCCGCTGCTGAATGCTTTGCAAGTAAGAGGTTCATTTTAGAGGCGGAATATATAGGAAGTAGCTCTCCCCCTCCTCCGGTTTCTGGGTATACGTTAGGCTAGTTTCTGGCTTGACATGTAATTGACACTAGGCTCGTGTGAAAGGTTTAAACAGCCCTTGTTTGGATAAAGATAGAGAAAGAAACTTACAAATAAATGGTATTTATAATCAGTTACTAAATGATTGGCTTAAATCTCTTTTACAGCACTGATTAGCATTAATTATTTAGTCAAGGGTTAATTACAATGTGGATAAAGGAAACACTTCGACTTTTCGCCATCCATGCGACGTTCTGTGGTCCGAATCGATGGTCTGTAAGTGGCATCGAAAAAGGGAAAAAACCCTTTTTTTTATTTACATATCACAAAGAAAGTGATGGTTAGGCAAATTAACTGACCGCCTTGATCTTTCAGATACCGAAGGAATGTTAGGTATTTTTCGCTAAGCCGCAATTTTTCGCGGAAAAGTGTATCTATTTCTCAGAATCAAACGCTTCAAAGAGCAATACTTACATGACAAAAGAGGATTGATGGTTTGATGAAACAACTAGTTGCAACTCAGCGAAATGAGAAACAGTGATTTTTACAAGAATCGAAACCGAAATATCGACATCGTCAAGATCGTTTACAGCTGTTTGAAAGTTATTAGCTACCAATTTTACTTCACAAGCATTCTTTCAATGAAAACAATTCAACATCAGCACATATTTCCAGCCTGCTCCGTCCATGCGTATGTATATCTATACTGATGACTAAAGCGAAAAATCTAGATTAATCACAAGAAACATTTCTCTGACTGTACAGCTCAGGTAGTCGTTGTTTTGTTTGAATCAAGCATCTCAGATTGGCAGATAGTCGGTCTGGCCCACGCGGAAAAAAAAGAAAAAAGAAAAATACACAGATAACATTACACAACCTCCTGCTTCTGGTTATAACGTTTTAGTAATAAATCGAACATTTGACGGTTAGTATCGAGTTAGTAATGACGACAGCCGGAGATGCTTCTCAATTGATTCCAGCTCCATTTTGTTTTTACAATAAATTTTTAAAAATCACCTTTGGGCTTCATTATCGCGCAATTAACAGTTGCTGGTTAAGCAGAAGCTATTCTCGGATATTCCCCAGTTTTACTGAGTTGGGGAATATTCGGTCACGTGACGTGTTTAGACCAATCGCGCGCGAGCGAAACTATTGGATTGATTATAAAAACAAATAGACTTGTGTAATGAGTGAAAATAACAATAAAGGTGTATAAAAGGAGCGCCTTAAAAGTGACTTTCTTATTGAAAGTGATGGCTTTTCACAACGACAACGATCCTCTACAAAGGTCTTTTATCGGCAAGTTTCTTTTAACTTGTAGTCTGTGCGTGACTGTGTATGCTGGTAGGTACATTTCATTACTGTTACAATGATCTTTAAATTGCTGGTTCGTACCGTTTTGCACAAATGTAAGAATCAAACTGTTATTGTCTTGCCACAAAGTGAAATGTTCCTCAAAAACTCTGTTGCCGAACTGCCGGATGCCCTGCGAGATGGAGATTCTCTTGTCTTTCTTTTCTCTCACCGACAAGACGAATTGTCTTGCCATGTCATCGGTGCGTGATAAGTTCGAACTGATGATCCACGGAAAATCCATAACAAACTGCCGGATATCTAGCGAGCAGAGATTCCATTTTCTTTCCACTCACGCCTCTTGAAAATTTGATTGCAACAATACTCAACAGAGTCAATGTTTTGTCTGTTTCTGAATGGAGACAATTGAAGCGGAAACCTAAGAAATTATAAATCTTAGTGCAGTCGCCCTCAGATAAGATTACTGAATTTGTGCCGCACATATGCATGTAAACTACAAATGAAAGCGTCGTCGAATAGTGTCTGTAATTAAGACCTCTCTGATACGGGGCATCAACAGAAGAGAAAGTGTACAGTTTGGTTACAAATTTGTTGACATTAAATGTAAATTGAGTGAAAGCTGGGGGTTTTCCCTTACATGCGCGAAAGCCGCAGTTATATTGACGCAACCGCTTTCTAACCCTTTTGCCCCAACGCATTTTATAATAAAGTAAATTAAAAAGATTTGTTGAAAGGTTGAAGTGTTAAAAAATAATAATTATACGGTAATGGTTACTTTTCTGTGGGCGTTATAATAAAAAAATTGTTCAACTGCGTATCAGTGCTGGTCTGACATGCCGCAGGTGGAAAAATAGATCGGCTGGTTTCCCGCCATATGATCGCTGTCATCCGGCTACAGAACAAGTTAAGCGATACTTACGAATTTCGGTTTCTTAATTTCCATATGATCATTGAGAAAGAACTTCATAATTAAGTCTATTTTAACGATTGCTGTTGTTACGATCGCTAACGTTTCCCTGGACTCGGAGATTGCTTCCCATGTGATATCTAAGATTGCGGAACTTCTTTTTTGACTGATGGGATTGATCCGGCGTAACAGTCACATAGAAATTATCCTTTTACAGTACGCATCCCGAGTTTGACCTCTGCTGCTCATGAAGGATGTTACTGAAATCTTTGGTCTATTTATCACTTAATGAAATCGTCTCTCTCTCATCAGGTGTTCAAGCTAACAATAAGCGAACAGAATGCCCTGACGAGCAGATCGCACTGGAATGTCCCGACCTGGAATCGGTCCTCCAAAATGGAACTTTTCTAGAGTTTCAATGGAGGGTCACTGACCCTAAACATCTCAAGAAGCAAAATATTGTCTACTGCAACCAAAGTTGGCAGTGTACCAGATACAAGAACATAAAAAGTTTCCATCAGAGAATCAAAGTAAGCAATCCTGTTCATGGAACACTTCTTGTGAAACAGATGAAGCTGGACGATCGACTTGTCTACACTTGCGTCATAGAACGCAGCGGAAACAGAGGCCCCATTGCTAATAAAATAATTGTCACTTCTTCAAAGCATTGTAAGTAGAAATCATGGCTACAATGCTTGATTATAATTAAGTGAGAAAAAATTGTTTCCTGTGTTCAGTCGTGTCTTGCTTAACAAGGAGATAAATTCATATAAGAAATTTATATTGTCACGGCTTGGGGTACAATGTGCGATGTTGTTTTTAACGTGAAAACTAGTTTTTACATGTAGTTCTCCCTCTTTAAGCACAGGAAAACCTTAATAATTTAATTTTTGACTTCAATGATTAAAGGTTGATTTGATGATCAACTGAACCTCGGGAAAAACGAAATTGGACTAAAAATTATATCTAGTGTTTGAAAGCGAAAGGTTATAAAGGTAAATTCGCCACTGAGCAAGAAATGAAATGATTGATTAAAGATAGTCGATCTCTGACCGTGAGAGTGGATAACAAAGTGCAGAGTAGTTACATATGGGAACATGATGCAATTTAAGTTTATTTTATTTATGAAAATATAATTTGTTTTGTTTCGTCTTCCTCTTCTAATTTTAGGTCTATCCTCCACTGCTGGGCAAAACCTGGACCTGGGTCAAACATTCCAGGGTATGGTTTCTAAGGAAACAGTGGAAGACATTGAGTGGTACAGAGTCTCACAAGATGGAACGAAAGTGAAAATAGCATACTGTAGCCCCTCCTCGCCATGCAGGTTGGTGGAAAATTGCATCAGCTCCTGTCCAGAGTACCTAACAAGACTGAAGACAGACGGGGTGTCAATCATTCTGTCGAATGCCACAAAGACTGACCGCGGATTGGAATTTCGATGCCTGATACATCCTAAGATTATGACCAAAGGACCTCAAGTCTACATGATCAAGATCAAAGATATCTCGCCTCGAAAAGGTCAGTGTCACACACATTAATTGCGCTTCTGTTCTTTGTGAGTGACAGCTAGTTGGACCGGGAGTTGACTGGGAGAGAGGGTAAATTCTGAGACCGCGATTTTCGTTGCATCAGTAGATGTCGCCGTTAGTGATTGATCATTGCTTAGAAATTCAGTTTGTATCGTTCATACTGTGAACACTTAAAAAAGCTTGGTGTATGAAGTTATATGCAATGTCTGATTTTGACCATACAACCAACTATTACATTCTCTTTGCAGCTGTAGATATAGAAATCAACCGAACAACTTTCAAACCCAGGACAACGGCAACATCTGCCGCCAACACGACCGCACCCACTGGAAACAACCCAGGATCTTACAGTATACAGAAGAACAGCTGGTTGATAGCGTTAAGTGTTGTGATTAGCTTGGTT